GGCAAACTTATCGATTAAGATTCTTGACAACACGATGTCTTAAAATGAAATTACCTCACTAAATTGCTACGACCTATTTGGAGAATCACTCTTAGGATAAAACGATAGAACCAAAACTCTCGGTAATTCTCCAAAATAATATTAAAAATAGCAAAACAATATTAAAATAAAGTTTTTAGAATATAGAAATTGAGTAATGATTTCATTGTCTACTTTTTTTTTTTCCCAATACAAGGACGGTTTATATAGTCCAAGAATCATCAATTCATGATTTAAGAAAATTGAAGCTGCACCTTTATGAAGATTTTATGATTTGAATTAATAATTCAAAACTGTCTCAACTGCCAATTTTTATTTATGTTTTTATGATTTTAATAAATCACTAAGTAATCCTTCAACTACATATTGTACTTGTTAGTTTGAGCCAAAAAAATAAATAAAATCCACACTTTTTACCAATTGGGCACTTTTTCTAATTTAATTATTTTTTTCAAATAATATTTTTGTTAAAATAATCTAACAGTTGGTTCCCGTCACTTAATATCAAGAGTATGGGGGGTTGGTTTTAAAATTTATAAATCAAAGTAATATGTATTAGTGACAGAATCTGTTCATGTCCTTAAAATGAAATGAGATATTTGCATATTTAAAATTCATCAATCTCGAAGAATATTTTCCTGTAGAGAATCTGTTCATGTCCTTACAATTACTTGTTAGATGGAAAGCCACAAGAATTTTCCACATTGCCCTCGGACGCTCAAGTTAGACCGAACTGTAGAATTCAAAAGGTGTTCTGCAATCATATTTGAATCTTCAGTCGGCAAAATTCCAGCATTTTGTCCCTGTTCTTGTTATTATCAACCACCTTAATACTTTCAAATTTTACATATTAAAACAACACAAAGTACAACTGTTTGGTAAATCCGAAAATTAATTAACAGGCCTGCACTTGGCTTTGCAACTATATCTATGTGCCTAAGGAGGTGTTCTTTCCAAAGTTTCTGTCTATAAAAGCCATCTCAAGAAGCCGCATTAATTAGTATAAGGCAGCAAATAAAAATACAATATACCATGGCTCAGGTTTATAAAACACTACTCAATCTGGTTCTGGTGCTTAGCCTTGTTCTCACACTATCTATGGCCAATAGCAAACAATTTGGCAGTAAGTATTTCTTGTTGCAATTTTCAAATATAAGCAAACTTTTTCTCAAAAGTTCCTAGGAGCTAGGTTGAACTTTGGAAGGCTAGAGTTTTTGTTGAATAAGTTGATCTAAAATTTTAAACTTTAGATTGGACCTAATTTTAGTTATTATCTTCAACATGCCCCATCACGGATAGGTGGATTCATTTTTTTCCTATCAAAGCCTAAAGTGTGCAATATTCATTTAAAGGGGTGGCGATGAAAGTTGAAATGAGGACCGTTGATATAATGCTATGTACAGATAACATGGCACTATATTAAAATTTAACTGCTTTTCTTTTATCTCTCTCTCTTCCAAACTGTTTTTTTTTTCTCTTTTTGTACATCATTTGTAAATAATTATGTACAAGTAGCATTGTCAAGGACTGTTGATTGCTCTCATGTCATGTTGAAGCATTTATTTAAAAATTTCTGTTAGATAAAGCCAAATATTTATAATTTAAATATTTTCAACAGTTTCATTTTAAACTAGTGAAACATATGAATGGGTTACTATAACTCTTCATTTTCGAATAAAATACTGGTTTTACAAGGTATTTTCTAAAAGAGGCAAAGCTAAAATGAATATAAAAACTGGTGCTACTGTGGCTACGTGTCCTGCTTTAAGAAGGAATGTTAAAGTAAAGGTTTTTCTCTGATACAGTTGGTTTTGGAAGCACTGCTTCCACTCCGATTTGCAATTCTGTATATGGAGCAGAGAGTGGTGATACTTGTACAAGCATCGCACAGAATTTTAATTTTTCTGTTGAAGACTTCATTATGATTAATCCAAACATCAACTGTGATGCAATCTTCGTGGGTCAGTGGCTTTGCATTGATGGTTCCGCCTAACTACTGCAGATTATGAAGAACTTAATAAAGGATGATAAAATATTGTCCTCTCAAATGTTGTCTCTTTTAGAATACAATTGTTGTCATCTCTTTTTTATACAATTGTTAACTTATAATGTTTGGAGGTTACGACCTTTCCTCATTCCAGGTTAATGTTTCCTAGGGAATTATTGTCCCTTTAATGTTATGGTACTTTCTTTGTTCCTAAGCTCTCAACAAAAAACATTTCATATTTCACATTTCACATTTCACATTAACATTAATTGAATAAATGTTTCAGAAAAACATAAAATAAACAAAATAAAGAAATGTGTATCTAGATCACCTTAATGCAATGCTCTTTAAGCTCGTTGGGAACATGAGATCATATGTTGTAGCTAATGAGGATTTGTATTAAAAAACAGACCCTCTAAAACTTTTCATCTTCTTGAGATTATCCCCAATAGGTTATCCTTGTTCAGTTATTGAGCAATCTTATGATCCTTCTCAATATTGTTGGTGTAGGAGAAAATTTTGATAAAGTAATTTTACAAAACAATAAAATGCATAAAGGCAGACTTATTGATTGAGAATCTTGACAACTCGACGTCCTAAAGTGAAAATTGTACACCGTAAATTGTTGCGACTTATTTGGCGAATCACTCTCAGGATAAAACGATCAAACTAGAACTCTCAATAATACTCCAAAATAATATTAAAAATAACAACATAATATTAAAATCGAGTTTTTAGAATATAGAATGTGTGGAATGATTTCAATGTGTATTTTTTTTCAATACAAGGAGGGTTTGTAGAGTCCAAGAATCATCAATTCACGATTTAATAAAATTAAAGATGCACTTTATGAAGATTTTATGATTTGAATGAATAACTAAAAACTGTCTCAACTGCCAATTTTTATTTCTGTTTTTATGATTTTAATAAATCACTAAGTAATGCTCCAACTGCTATATTTTACTGGTTTGTTTGAAAAAAAAAAAGGAGGAAGAAGAAGAAATTCCACAGTTTTTACCATTTGAGCACTTTATCTAATTTAATTATTTATTTCAAACAACATGTTTGTCACAATAATCTAACAGTTGGTTCCTGTCCCTTGATATCAGAATTATATCGAGTTGGTTTTAAAATTTATAAATCAAAGTAACATGAATTAATTAGTACGAGATAATTCTTCCACATTTTATGAACAATAAAGTTTAACCGCCAGAAGTAATATGTATTGATAATGTAAATTGATTGGAAAAACTGTTGGAAATAAAAAATTATGGGATGAAAGACTAGAGAGAAAAATTCAGAGAATTCTCAAAAATATTTGTGTTTTATGGCTTGGCTCATAAAATGCTCAAGCACAAGGCCTTTTATAGGTACAAAGGATCATAAATACATTGTATGAATTTAAGAGATTAATTAATGACTTTTCCTACATACTATGAATAATAGGATACAAAGAACCATTTTGATACATGATTTAAATAAATGCATGTATATTAAATAAACTAATTCATGTATCAAATTTAACTTTTTCATCATTCATGAATCGAGTTTAATTTCCAACACCCCTTCTTAAACTTGATTCCCTCTTGATAACTTCAATCCAAGTACGCAATCTTGCAAAATCATCATTCTTCAATGGTTTGGTGAAAATGTCTGCGACTTAATAATTGGTCTTCACATAAACAAGCTCAACTTCTTTGTTCTCAATGCACCTTCTAATGAAGTGAAATCTCGTATCTATATGCTTGCTTCGATCATGGAACATAGGACTTTTACCCAGAGCAATAGCTGACTTGTTATCAACATAAATTGGTGTAGCTTCGTTTTGAGGCATATGAAGCATCTCCAATAATTTCCGTAGCCAAATGGCATGACAAACACACGATGCAGCGAAAACATATTCAACTTCACAAGTACAAAGGGTCACAATGGGCTACTTCTTTTAACACCAAGTGAAAGCGGCGTTATCCATGAAAAACAAAAATCCAGTGGTGCTTTTTCGATCATTAATATCAATAGCCCAATCACTATCACTATAGCCATGAAGCTTGAAATTTGTAGAAGAGGAATAAGCTAAGCCATAATCAAGGGCACCTTTAATGTAGGGAAGTATCGTTTTAGCAATCTCCAAGTGAGTTAAAGTTGGTGCCTCCATATAACAGCTAATGAGACCAACACCATAAAGAATATCGGGTCTTGTACAAGTCAAATATCTCAAGCTTGCAACAAGCTATCTATAGAGAGAGATGGATCCACTTTCATGCTCTTATTATATTTTGACATCTTTGTTCCACACCGAATGGGAGTACTCACTGGATTGCAATTTTGCATTTTGAATTTTTCAAGAACTTTCTTCGCATAAGCTTCTTGAAAAATAAAAATGTCATCTCCATTTTGTTTTACCTCAATTCTGTGGTAGTATGACATGAGCCCAATGTCAGTCATCTCAAATTCTTGAGCCATCATTATCTTAAGTTCATCAAACATAATTTCATTATTATCGGTGAAGATCAAGTCATCAATGTACAAGCACACAATCATAAAACCTCCAAATGCGTCCCTTTTAATGTAAAGAGCATACTTATGTGGACATTTGATGAATCCATGATCTTGAAAATACTTGTCAATTCGGCTATACCATGCTCTAGGCACTTGCTTCAAGCCATATAGCGCCTTCTTCAAATTCAAACTTTATCTTTATGTTCATTGACAACATAACCCAATGGTTGTTGAACGTACACTTCTTCTTCACGGTATCCATTCAAGACAGTGGACTTGACGTCCATTTGATAAACTTTTCACTTATTTTGAGCTGCCAAGGAAATGATTAATCGAATGGTTTCCAAGCGAGCAATGGGGGCAAAGACCTCATCATAGTCAATGCCATGCTTTTGGCTATAGCCTTTGGCAACAAGTCTTGCCTTGTATTTCTCCACTTCTCCTTGAATACTTTTCTTTACTTTGTATACCCATTTCATGCCAATTGCTTTTTCCCTTCAGGAAGAGAGGCTAGCTCCCATGTATTGTTCTTTTTTATTGCTCGGATCTCCTCATCCATTGCATGCCTCCATTTCTTGTCTTCCATTGCCTCTTCAAAGTTTAATGGCTTGGTGTCAACGAAGAGACAAAATAAAGATGGATTATCAACAATTTTGGTTTCTTCATAAATCTCTGCAAAATTTCTGATACGACTCGATCCTTTGGAGGGACTATCATAAGGAGATTGAGGAGCAGGAAAATGCGGTGGAGGAGCATCTTCACTTGCGTTTTGGCTAGAGTCTCCTTCTTGAAAAGGAAAAATCACGTATTCTTCATTTTTCAGAACATTCCAATCACACGAACTTCCTTCGTCGAATTTTGCATCTCTACTAATAACAATCTTTCCATTGCAAGGATTGTAAAACTTGTAGCCTTTAGAATTTGCATCATAATCGATGAAAACAAACTTCTCACTTTTCTCATCAAGTTTTAATCTCTTCTCATTTGGCTCATGAATATAGGCAATACTACCAAAAACACGTAAATGAGAAACACTAGGTTTCTTACCACTCCAAGCTTCTTGTGGAGTCATGTCTTGAACACTACTCGATGGGGAAAGATTAGACAAATACATGGCACATGCAACAGCCCCGGCCCAAAACTCCTTCTCCATACTCTCGTTCTTAAGCATACTACGAACCATGTCGAGGATGGTTCTATTCTTCTACACCATAACACCATTTTGTTACGATGATCTTGGAACTGTAAGGAAATGACGGATTCCATTGGTATCACAAAAATTGTTAAACTCCTTGGAAGTAAATTCTCCGCCTCGATTCATCTTTAATACTTTGATTGAGTTGCCACTCTCATTTTCAACAAAGGCTTTGAATTTTTTGAATGCTCCAAACACTTCATCTTTCGTCTTCAAAAAATAAACCCAAGTCTGGCAAGAAAAATCATTAATAAATAGTAAAAAATAATTTGCTTTACCATGATAGGGTGGTTTGATTGGCCTGCACACATCCGCATGAACAAGTTGGAGTGGCTTTGTTGCTCTTGAGGTGAATTCCTTTGGAAAGCTTCTTCTAGTTTCCATGCCAACGAGGCATCCTTCACAAAGTTGATTGGGATGATTAATTTTTGGCAACCCATTCACCATTTCTTCATTCGTCAAGGTCTTCAAGCCACCAAAATTCACATGACCAAATCTTAAGTGCTAAAATCAAGAATTGTCTCCAGCACAAGCTTTTAGACACCTTGGATGGTCAACATTGACATTGAGTGAAAACATTCTATTTTTCTCCATTGGCACGTTTGCAATCAGTTTATGAGAAACATCTCTCAAAGTAAGGCAATGTTTCTTCAAGTGAATGTCATAGCCATTCTCAAGTTATTGTCCCAAACTCAAAATATTAGACTGCAAAGTAGGTACATAATAAACTTGAGAAATCAAAAGATGACTTCCATTTTTAGCACGAATAAGAACATCACCTTTGCCCTTTATTGAAATTTTAGTTTCATCTCCAAAAACAATGTTGCCTTTTACCCACTCATTTATTGTTGAGAATAACTCCTTGTTGCCACTCATGTGATTGGCAGCACTGGTGTCAAGGTACCACGATTGTTTATCCTTTTCTTCTTTGGTTGCCAACAACAACAATTCTTCATATTCCTGTGCTTCAACATAATTCACTCTCTCTTCATTATTGGTGGTGTCACTCCTACATTTGGAAGCATAGTGACCATTGGAGCCATAGTTCCAACACCCTCGTCCTCTTGATTGATTGCTTGATCCTTCATTATTCAAAATTTGTTTTCCATCATTTCTTTCATTACCACAACCATAATTTCCTCTGCTACCACGACCATGAATTTGACCTCTTCCTTAAGATCGTCCTTGCTCTTTTTGTTGACCTCCCAAAGAGACATTCATTTGGACAACTTGAGCCACCGGTTCTCCTTTCTTCTTCAATCTTTCTTCATATGATTGCAAGGACCCATGAGTTGATCAAGGGTCGTGGTATTCAAGTCATTAGACTCTTTAATGGAAATACTAACAAACTCAACTTTTGAGTCAAGCGATCTAAGAATTTTCTCGATGACACGACTTTCTTCAATATTCTCCCCATATCGCTTCATATGATTGACAATGGAGGATACTCTAGAGAAATAGTCAAAGACATATTCAGACTCTTTCATGTGCAGAGATTCGAACTTCCCATGAAGCATTTGAAGGAGAACCTTCTTCACTTTTTCAATTCCCTTGAAATTGTTCTCGAGAATCTCCCAAACTTCCTTAGCTTTTGTTGAGGACACAACTTTCTCGAACATTGCTTCATCTAAGCCCATGTGAATAATAGAGAGAGCGTGTAGATCTAACTTGCGATACCTTTGCAAGGTATTCCTTTGAGCTTGACTTATAGTTCCTTCATTCTCTGGTTCATCATAGCCTTTCTCTACAACTTCACATGCCTCTTGTGAGCCGAGCAATGCCTTCATGCGTATGCTCCAATGTCCATAATTTTTCTTTGTTAATTTGGGAACAACAAAAGGAAACGAACTACTCATCTTTGAAATGGCTCTGATACCACTTTGTGTTGGTAATAAAAAATTATGGGATGAAAGACTAGAGGAAAAAATTCAGAGAATTCTCAAAAATATTTGTATTTTATGGCTTGGCTCATAAAATGTCTCAAGTACAAGGCCTTTTATAGGTACAAAGGATCCCAAATACATTGTATGAACTTAAGAGACTAATTAATGACTTTTCCTACATACTATGAATAATAGGATACAAAGAACCATTTGGATACATGATTTAAATAAATGCATGAATATTAAATAAATTAATTCATGTATCAAATTTAATTTTTTTCATCATTCATGAATCAAGTTTACTTTCCAACAAAAACTAAGTTTTGAGAAAGTTTTCTATTTTTTCCACACTGAGACGTTTCACTTATATAGCATAGAGATCAGACATTAAAGAGAGAACAAAATAAATACAAAGGAAAAAAACAGAGAATATTATTTCGACAAATTGCAGAGATACCAGAAATTTCCACTTATATAGCAGGATATTCTTTTCAAGTAAGAATTTTTAAGTCGAAATTTTTGTTCAAACATGCTGTAATTCTTTTACCCTTAACAGCCTTAACTCTGTTAGGAACTGAAGTTGCATTGAGCGCTTATAATTGAGTCAAATGTAAATTGTGAACCTTGGAGGAAAAACTCATTCTTTTTCTAGGTTCCCATACCGTGTCTACAGTTTGAAATGAATGTGATTGACAAAATATTAAAGGATTAACATAGAATTATATATAACATTTTTTTTTCTCTATTGTATTACAAATTGACAAAATATTAAAGGATTAACATAGAATTATATATAACATTTTTTTTTCTCTATTGTATTACAAAGGCAACAACCCTATCTACTGGTTACTAATAAGTGTGGATGTCATACATAGTTCATACCCATTTATATGCATTTGCTAGCGATTTTGAGTCAAGTTCTACATTGATTTTGTTCTATTTTGTGCTTTAGGTCCCACTCCAAGCTACAATTAGACATTCTAGACTTCCAAAGGTGAAAAGAAGACTCAATTCAAATGCATTGAAGAGAGGAGATGCTGAAGCATCTGAAGGAGCAAACATGTGAGTGTTCGTGAATTTCTTGGATTATGTTGTGTAATTTTGCGTAGTGAGAGGTGAGATGGGAAAGAAGTTCTATGATAAAATTTGCATCTTAAGTCCGCAGCATTCCAGCATTTTTGTCCCGGTTATTGTTATCATCAACCACTTTTACCCTCTATATTCATACAACATATTAAAACAACACAAAGTACAAATCAGAAGATTAATTAACTGGCCTGCACCCGGCTTTGCAGCGATGTCTATGTACCTAATGTGGTGTTCTTCCCGAAGTTTCTGTCTATAAATAGTCATGTCATGAAGCCATAATTCTTCACCGGGAGTAAGGCAGCAAACAAAATACTACCATGGCTCAGGCTTACAAAACCATACTCAAATTTGGTTCTGGTGCTCAGTCTTGTTCTCACACTATCAATGGCCACTAGCAAACAACTAGTCAGTAAGTATTTGTTGCAATTCAAAAGGAGTAATGTCAGTCATAGTTGACGATTGCAATAGTTATCCTATATGGCTGCTAGTTATTTGAAGCTTTAGCTTATTATTTGAGGCAACAAAATTACAATAAATTAATGCCTCAAATAACAATCCGTCACATAGGATGACTACCGCAGACACTAACTATGAATAACATTGTTCATCGAAAAATCTTTTCTTATTAAAAATTTCCAAAACATTTCGTATATAAGCTTGCATTTTTCTCAAAAATGCCTAGGAAGTAGGTTGCACGAAACTTTGGAAGGCTAGAGTTTTTGTTTTGAACTTGAAAATAAGAAAGAAAAATGGTTTTCAATAACTATTTATATTCTAATAAAACACTGATTTAAATTTGAACCAGGTATTTTCTAAAAAGGGTAAAAACAAAAGGCATAGAAAAGCTGGTACTATTGCTGCTATATGTCTCATTCTTGGTAAAATTGTTGGAATAACTCTATTTTTTTGTATTCATTCATTTAATTTTTACTGAAGCAGTTGGTTTTGGAAGAACTGATTCCACTCCAGTTTGCAATTCGGTATATGGAGCAGAGAGAGGTGATACTTGTACAAGCGTCGCACAGAAATTTAAATTTTCAGTTGAAGACTTCATCAAGATTAATCCAAACATCAACTGTAAGGCAATCTTCGCGAGTCAGTGGCTTTGCATTGACGGTTTTGCCTAACTAGAGCAGATTTTGAAGAACTTAATAAAGGATAATACAATATTGTCCTCCCAAATGTAGTCTCTTTTAGATTACAAGTAGTAGCTAATTGTTATTTCTCCCTTTTATGATATCGTCAACTAATAACAAGGTATCATGACCTTCCTATAATCCAGGTTTAAGGCTTTCTTGTGAACAGGAGTTCTTTGATGTTATGGTACTCCCTTGGTTCCAAGGCTCTCTGCAAAAGACAATGCACAACAACATTAATTGAATTATGGCTTTAGAAATTAACGTCCTTACCCTTGAAGCAAATAAAAAATAGTCTCTAAAAATTTTACCACTTCAAATTTAAACTAAGTCAAAAAGAAGGGTGAAAATGATCACACATTAAATATGACTCAGTTTTCACAATGTTTAATCAACATTTACACATTAATCGGATGCTCAAACTTATTCAATATGTGAAAAACAACAAGCTAGCAAATGAGTGAATAAGTACATATATGCTTAAGGTACCAATTTTGATGGAACATACCCAAACGGGAAAATCCCGTGGCCCCTAACCATGCAATAAAACCATTACGAACGTAATAATGCAATTGAATGCTAGGAATTAAAATAAACAACACCTGTTTTTTAAGGAACACACCCAAATACGAGTTTTCCCCTTGATTTAAATAAAGGTGGTCTAAAAATTGAAACCTAGTTTAGGTTTGAAAAATCATTTTCCTATGGATTGTTCTAAGAAACACTTTTAATACTATAGATTTCAAGTATGAGAATATAGAAGAAAGGCAAGAAGGTGAGAAACCAACTTGAAGCCCTCAAATGATTGTGTATTTTCTTGCCCAAAGTGTCTAACCGTAATTGTGGATTTGCACCAAGCTTTATACATTCCAAGAAGATCAAACCTAGCTGAATTTTGTGTGTAGCTAGGAAAGAAACCTTAAATGAGTGGAGTTAATCAGATATGCACACAATTAGGTAATCATAGACAATCTTGGTTTCGTTATTTGAACCGGTCCTCTGTAGGCTTCTACACACATGGAAAGTCTATTCTTCTTTAATCTTTAACTCTCGTGTAGTACATAAAGATGATAGAGTAAGAAGAAAATAGTAGACCCGAACAAATTTTTTTTTTTCTATAAAATATATAATAGCAAGTTCAAGTGTTAAGACACTGTGCATATAAGGTCCCTAGTGTCAAACAAAATGCAGAGTCTTAGAGAGCAAAACACAAGAATTTAAAGGGAGAGATACAATGTTCAGGTTTTCTTGAAAAGGATTCATGGAGAAGATGGTGCAATTCAAGAATTTTGAAGAGGTTCAGAATCAAGGTTTATACTTAATTTTCTTCTACATATCATGGGTTAGGCATTCTCAAATTAATTTGTGTTTGTGCAACTCAATTATGTTAGGCTAAACTTGTAGTTGTTACGAAGACCATGAAATCTTGTCAACTCTTTAATTCAAGATTGCTCATTTTTTACTTCTAATTCTTGTTTGATGAGTATTTCCTAATTAATTGTGTTTGTGAATTATATTGCTTCTAAGTGGTTCAATGTAATTTTAGAACTTTTTGGCAAGCGATAAGAGGTTCTATAGGTGATTGAGATATATCTATGTGTTTTATCAAACAGTTATGGAATGATCATCTGATTGAATGCAGAACCAAATTTTCTTTGAGAACAGGAACTTGATAACGCGCATTGGTATGTCCTAAATAATTGTGATGAAGTTCGGCAATATTTAGGGTAAGTTCTTAATCAACTTTTAAGTTGTTTTGCTATTAATTACTGATGTGTTGTAGTATTTAATTGCATGTTCCTTTTGTAGTGAGCACATGGAGTTGTTGCAAGAACAAAATCATAACAATTTGGAGAAAAAAAAGAATTATTTTCTCGATGGTTTGCTTCACAGGTAAGTTTAATACATGTCTTATTTATTTATTAACGCAACATAACATTTGTATCAGAAGGTATATTGATTAATATTTTTTTATTTGCACAGATAACGAGATTATATAATCAAAAAATTTTGGTTGTAAGCAAAGAATTGTATGCATTAGCATGTAAACCAGATTTTAGAATATTTTCCTACTCAGGTTATATTGCTAATGGGGTAAGATTCCTTGTTAAAAATCGAGATGATTGTCGTACAACACAAAATAGTGGAGTGATGGTCTCAGGAGATGAGAAATCAACTTTTTTGGCATATTGTGTGATGTTATTGAGTTGGTATACGTTTTTCACTACCACGTCACTTTGTTCCAGTGTAATTGGTACGATAATGATCCAAAGAAAAAAAAAGAATAGTCATAGATTACCATCTTACTTCTATTAATGTGAATTGTAAATGGTACATGGATGATTCCTATATACTTGGCATCCAAGCACAACAAGTATTTTATATGGATTATCTTTTGTTGGGTCTACAATGGAAGGTAGTGGAAAAGGTACAACATAGAGGTATATGGGATATTTCTGAAAAAAATGATGGTGGTAGTGAGGAAGTAATATTTCAAGAAAATTAATCATCAGATATTATTTGCCAATACAGCAAGATGATCTTGACACTCAACTATGCCATAGAGGAGATGTTGATCCAGATATTATTGAAAATGAAGCACTACAAATAGATGTGGAATTAATAAATAAAAATATGAATAATGTTATATATGATACTTCGGAAGAGGAAGATGATACA